AGGCAGGCTGAGGCTGAGGAGGCTGAGGCAGGCTGAGGCTGAGGCTGAGGCTGAGGCAGGCTGAGGCTGAGACAGGCTGAGGCTGAGGCTGAGGCAGGCTGAGGCTGAGGCAGGCTGAGGCTGAGGCCGAGGCAGGCTCAGGCCGAGACAGGCTGAGGCTGAGACTGAGGCTGAGGCTGAGGATGAGGCCGAGGCAGGCCGAAGCTGAGACAAGGTGAGGCTGAATGGGGAGGGGGAAAGGGGGGGGGAGGAGGGGAGGCTGAGGCAGGCTGAGGCTGAGGCCGAAGCAGGCTGAGGCTGAGGCTGAGGCAAGCCGAGGCAAGCTGAGGCTGAGGCTGAAACTGAGGCAGGCTGAGGGAGGGTGGTCCCTCAGCGCGGCCTCTATCCGTGACACGCTCGCAGATCGTGGCAGGAGTGGCACTTTCTCGACACCACAGGGGGTGCGCAGAAGGTGGTCCCTCAGCGCGGCCTCTATCCGTGACACGCTCGCAGATCGTGGCAGGAGTGGCACTTGCTCGACACCACAAGGGGTGCGCAGAAGGTGGTCCCTCAGCGCGGCCTCTATCCGTGACACGCTCGCAGATCGTGGCAGGAGTGGCACTTTCTCGACACCACAAGGGGTGCGCAGAAGGTGGTCCCTTAGCGCGGCCTCTACCCGTGACACGCTCGCAGATCGTGGCAGGAGTGGCATTTTCTCAACACCACAGGGGGTGCGCAGAGGGTGGTCCCTCAGCGCGGCCGCTATGCACGACGGTCGTCCAGGGCATAGCAGGCGTGGCATTTTCTCGACACCATAGAGGGTGCGCAGGGGGTGGTCCCTCAGCGCGGCCGCTATACACGACGGTCGTTCAGGGCACTTTCTCGACACCATAGAGGGTGCGCAGGGGGTGGTCCCTCACCGCGGCCGCTGGCTGGCTCGAATCTGTCCTCGATGGGGGATAGAAGGCTAGGAAGAGGGAGGAGGTTCAAGCAATATGGCGTTGGATGACACATAGGGGAACATTCGCGACGAGGGCTCAGAACGCAGAATTGCGCATATATTATAAACTTAAGCAAACACATAAGATTTAAATTAAGTATGTGGGGTTCCTCGGTAGCGTAATTTTGTTATTCCTGTTTTCCTCTCTAGCTTCCCTGGGCTCAAGATGCCACCTCTGCAGATCCCCCCACAATGAAAACCCTTTCGCAAGGCCGCCACAAAAGGAATTCCCTTTGTAAAGGCTGCTACAAAAGGCCTCTAATTGTGAAGGCCACTGCAGATCCCCCTCACTTGAAATCCTTGCGTAAGGTCGCCACACAAGGAATCCTTGTTAAAGCTGCTACACAAGGGTATAAAAAGTGACAGTCACAGGCCTTCCTAGCTTGTTCCTGTATATCCATGTGAAAGCACATGACGTTTCATGTTTTTTCCTGTAATGATGCCGATGATGATGCAGATGATGATGATGATGATGATGATGATGATGATGATGATGATGATGATGATGATGATGATGATGATGATGATGCTGATGATGATGATGATGATGATGATGATGATGATGATGATGATGATGATGATGATGATGATGATGATGATGAGCAGGAGGAGGAGGAGAGGAGGAGGAGGAGGAGGAGGAGGAGGAGGAGAGGAGGACGAGGAGGAGGAGGAGGAGAAGGTGGATGTGCAAATTGTGAGAAAGTTCCCAGAACCCACGGGTCCCCCCCTGCCCCCTTCGAAATCCCCCCCCCCTGCTGGACCCCCCCCGCTTCCCCCGGCAATCCCCTCCCTCCTCAACTAACCCCTCCCCCACGCCCTCCGGAAAACAGGGGGGGGGGTCTCTACCGGTTCGACCCCCCCCCCCCTCGGGAAAACCGGGGGGGGTCACTACCGGTTCGAACCCCCCACCGCCCCGCTCGAGAAAACCGGGGGGGTTCACTACGGGTTCGAACCCCCCCCCACACACTCACCGCCGGCAAACGACTTCCGGGTCCCCACCACCGTCCGCACCACATCCCACACCGCTGTCCCCAGCACCACCGTCCACACCACCACTGTCCCCACGGTTCCCACCACCGTCCCCACTGTCCCCACCAGTGCCCCCACCACTGTCGCACTGTCCCCACTGTCCCCACTTCCCACCACGGTCCCACTCTCCCCACTTTCCCCACGATCCCCACATTGTCCCACTGTCCCCACTGTCCCACTGTCCCACTGTCCCCGCCGCTGTCCCACTGAGCTGTCGCACTGTCCCCACTGTCCCCACCACTGTCCCCATTGTACCTCTGTCCCATTGTCCCACCACCGTCCTCGCCACCACCCTCACCACTGTCCCCACCACCCCCACCACTGTCCCTCTGTCCCCACTGTCCCCACCACTGTCCCAATGTCCCCACACCACTGTCCCCACTACCATCGTCCCCACCACTGACCCGCTGTCCCCACCACTGTCCCACTGTCCCCACTGTTCCCGCCATTGTCCCCGCTGTCACCACCAGTGCCCCCCCCAGTGTCTCACTGTCCGCACTGTCCCCACAATTGTCCCACTCTCCCCATTCTTCCCACTGTCCCCACCACTGTCCCACTGTCCCCACTGTTCCCACCACTGTCCCACTGTCCCTACTGTCCCCGCCGCTGTCCCACTGTGCTGTCCCACTGTCCCCACTGTCCCCAACACTGTCCCACTGTCCCCACTGTCCCCACCACTCTCCCCACTGTACTACTGTCCCACTACCGTCCTCACCACCGCCTTCACCACTGTCCCCGCCACCGCTGTCCCGCTGTCCCCTCACCACTGTCCTCACCACCACCGTGCCCACCACTGTTCCATTGTCCGCACCACTGTCCCACTGTCCCCCCACCAGTCCCCACCACCACCGTCCCCACCACTGTCCAAGTGTTCCGAGGAGCGGGAATCGTTTGGCGGCGGCGAGAGGGGGGGGTTCGAACGGGTAGTGACCCCCCCTTTTCATGATGGACTGGGGGGAGGGAAGGGGGGGTTCGAACCGGTAGTGACCCTCCCCCCCCCCCGGTTTTCGAGGGGGGTGGGGGACGGGTTGGGAACCCCCAGGGACCCCCCCCCCGGTTTTCCGCCAGCAGCGGCAGAACCCGCTCTTTCGAACATGTCCAACTGGGGCTTTGGACAAGAAGACCATCGCACTCATCGATCGCGTCCGCGTCCTCGGACTCCACGACCTCCTGGTACGCCTGATGCAGCCGCTTGGCGGCTAGAAGTCCAACCACCCGCCATGCGCCGGAGGGGATGCCGTCGGGGCCAAGCGGGAGGTCTTTGACATGTCGATGGCGCGTTCGAAAACTCTGCGAATGGGCTGCCAGCGGCGGTCATCATCGCGAGCGATGTGGTCTGCGGCAGATGGCCTGGCGCTCCTACCTGGTCCACTCGTCCCGGAGCGACGCGTCCGTCAGCTCGTCTGTGAAGACCTCATCCCAAAACTCCGTGAGGAGGCCCTTGGCGATCTCCTCCAGGGCAGTGGCGTGCCGGCCGCTTCGAAGCCGTAGTGCTCGGAGCGACTCGCCTCTGCCCGGGTCGAGGCGGGTCAGCGGCCTGCCTGCTCCTCGGTAAGTGCATCGGGGTCTTCGCGGAGCTTGCCGAGCTCATCGAAAGCGTGGTTCTGTTACAGATTTAGGGGGCCACATGCGAACCCTACCCCTACCCCCCACGATTTCTGAGGGGTAGGGTGGGGTAGGGTTCGCATGTGGCCCCCTAAGATTCGCAGCATGCCCTCGACTCGAGCAGGCTGTACGGGTTGTGGTGGGGCGTCGCGAGGATAGGGTAGCGGTGGAGATAGGCGTTCAACGCGCTGACGCTCCCACGTGCGAAGGCCCAAATAAACCGAAGGGTGGTGCCAAGCCTGTCCTCGCAGTCCGTGGCCTCAGTTGGTTTCTCTGGGCCCCAGTCCATCGCCTGACCCACCTTCCTCGGCGCTATCCACACGTGTGGTGGGTGTCGCTGAACGGGACAAGGTCTGGCAACAGTCTGCGGCGCTGGCGATCCTCCAGCCGGCCGCCACCTCTGCGAGCACACTTCGCGCTGTGCGGCTCAGGATAACCTCGCTTGCGCAACCTCCTCGGGAGATCCCGAACTGCGTGTCCCCATTTCAGCCGGTGACAAAACGATCTTGCCACATCTTCCCAAACATCCGTGAACTTCGGGGCGCCCAGCTCCAGGCTTGGTCCAGTGGCGGGGAGAGGCGGAGCACTCGGAGCCGATCGTCTTCAGAGCACAACCCGGAAGCCTTCGTGGTGAACCAATGCCCGCTCCGATGGGTCTCTGTAGCCCGTAGCGTGGTACACAAGGTCATCCGCTGGCTGAAAATGATATCGTTCTCGGGGGGTCAACCGTGTTGAATTCACGCCGAATGACGTAACCAAGGTCACATACTGGGGTCCGCCGTGCCTGAATCATTCTGGGCAGGTGGTCTCGGATTCATATCGATCTTTGGTCCTGTGGTCGTGAGGTGCAATCGTCCAGCTCCCTGAGGCCACACGGCGCACTGGATGGATGGAGAGAGGGGAAGCAGCGGCAACAAGGTCGGCGGTCCTGGTGCGGCTGCGTGGGCACCACCCAGCTCCGACCGAACTTCGAGCCGTCGGAGGGGTTGGTGCCAACTTTTAAATCGGACCCATGTCGACCTTCCCGGTTGTCCTCCTCCTCCTCCTCATCCTCTTCCCTCACCCCTCCTCCTTCACAACTTCTTTTGCTACTATGTATTCGACGCTGCCGGTTTGCCTAGGGGAGCAGCGATAGCATCGTGTAACCCTTAGCGAGCAGACCTGCCCAGGCCAGTCTCCTGCCAGGAGCAAGCACCACAGACTTTGGGCATGCGTCGTGTAAGCCACATGGCTAAAACGGCCAGAGCTTGAACATACAAGGAAAAAAATGTCCTCCTCCCTCTTTGCACTCCATCTTCCTCTGCCTTCCTCCCCCTCCCGCTCCTCTTCTTCCTCTTCCTCTTCCTCCTCCTCCTCCTCCTCCTCCCCAGGCTAGCGCGTCACTTGCCTGGAAGTGTGCCTTCCACATCAAGGGGGCGGCGTTCGGGACACGGCGCGAGGCCCACACTGCCACCCAAAAGCTGGAGAGAGGCGCGCGGTGCTGCTGCTGCTGCCCGCCGCGGGGCTCCAGAGCGGAAAGGTCCTGCGCAAAATGGAGGAGCGGGGGGAGGAGAAACGCGTGATGGGTTGGGTCAGTGTGGGCAGCGGAGCTTGCGAGCTCCTGCAGGGGGGGAACGCTCCCGAGGATAATGATGACTCGTGTGGGAACTCGCCCTCAATCTGCGGGACATATGACAAGACCCGCCTGCCGGGCGGAGTCAAAGGAGGCCCTCACGCGCACCGCCGCGCTCCACAGCGCCCAGTGCCCGCCGCTCCCTCGGCGCTCCCGCGACACCTGCTCCTCGCCAGCTTCAGGATGCTCCCAAAGCGTTCCAAGAATCGCGGCAACCCCCTCTTGACCTTCTCCTGCTCGTTCCTTATCCTCATCCTCCTTCTCCTCCTCCTCATCCTGCTCCTCCTCCGCCTACACCTGTACTTCCTCCCAAACATCCTGTGGTGTTGGATCCTTGTGTTTCTCCAATCCGCGCTTCCACCGAAGGGCTCCAAGCGGATAGTGAAAGATTTGGCGAACATTCTGGGCCGCGGATTTCGGTGGCCAGCTGGGATCCGGGGTTCCCGGATGCTGGTTCCGGGTCGATTTCGGTGGGCGGCGGGGTTCTCGGGTTCCCAGGTTTCCGGTCGATCTCCCTATCGATCTTCTCATCGACGCCACGACCGAATTCACCATCGAACTTATGATCGATCCAGCTATCCATCTCATTCAATCGCTCTCACTATCGATTTCGTTATCGATATTCCAATCGATCTCACTATCGATATCACTATCGATCTCACTGTGGATCTCACTCAATCGACCTCACGATCGGACTCCATGTTGATTTCAGTATCGATCGCAGTATCGATCTCGCTATCCATATCATAATCGATATCCCGATAGATCGCACGATCGGTCTCACGATCGATCTCACTATAGATTTCATTGAATCGGCTTCACTATCGGTCTCACTATCGACCTTACTATCGTCCTCACTCTCGATCTCACTATCGATCACACAATCGATATCATTATCCATCTTACGATCGAACTCGCTATCGATCTCACTACCGATCTCACTACTGCCCTCACGATCGATCTCACTATCCAACCACGGGACACCACGGGCCTAATTCGGGATACAAAGCTACAGTCCTACATGCATACGTATGGAATCGAAATGTACACATGTGCGTGCATACTAATTATGTCATATGTACGTGCGACTGGGAGCACTCAGTCAAGCTAATGAGTATTTCCCGAATCAGTGCTTGCACTGAAGGGGTCCTACCAGATGCTGAAAGATTTGGCGAACACTCTGGGCAGATTTTGGTAGGCGGCAAGGTTCACGGGTTCCCGGTTCCCATTAGCCCGGTTGCTGGTTCTGGGCTGATTTCGGTGGGCTGCGGGTTTCACGGGTTTCCGGGTTCCCAGTCGATCTCCTTATCGATGTCTTTATCGATCTCACGATCGAACTCACTATCGATCTTATGATCGATCCCACTATCCATCTCACCCAATTGACTTTAATATCGATCTCATTATCAATAACGAAGAAAAAGACAAATGCCCACCCCTGCCCAGCACGGCGATCTAACAAAACGGGGACCCCCCCCGCTTTAGCCGACCAGCCCAGCACAACCCAGCCCAACACGGCGACTTGACAAAATTGCACAGGAGAAAACCCCATCAGTGGATGACTTGAAAATTAATACCATGGATCTTGACATCGAGTGTGAAATCGATAATGAGATCGATAGCGGAATCGATAACGATTGTAAGGTCGATCGTGAGACCGAGAGTGAAACCGATTCAATGAGATCGATATTGAGATCGATCGCGAGATCGCTCATGCGATCTCTAGTGAGGTTACTTTCAGATCGATAGTGAGATCGATGGTGAGATCGATAGAGAAGTGGGTAATGAGATCGATGGTGAGACCGATCGATACGAAGATCGACCAAAAACCCCGGAACCCGGGAACCTCGCCGCCCTCCGAAATCGGCCCGGAACCCGGAACCGGGAACCCGGGAACCCAGAACCGGGAAGCCGGGAACCCAGCCAGCAACCCAAATTGGCGGGACACTTTCGCCAAATCCTTCAAAATCCGCGAGGACCCCTTCAGTGCAAGCACTGATTGAGGAATAGGGTCCCCCTGTCATTAGCCAGCTAATCCAGCCCACCCCAGCCCAGCACGGCGACTAAACAAGATGGGGTCCCCCTAGCGTTAGCCGACCAACCCAACACACCCAAGCCCACCACGGCGACATAGCAACATGGGGTCCTCCTGGCTTTAGCCGACCAGCCCAGCCCACTCCAGTCCAGCTCAACGTTTTTAACACAGTGGAGGAGGCTGAGGAGGAGGAGGATAATCAGCATGGGGAGGAGGAAAAGAGAAGCAGGAGGAGGAAAGGAGGAGGGAGGAGAAGGAAGGACAATCAGGAAGCTGACGAGGTAAGCGGAGGGAGGAAGCTCAGAGCACCCTTAGAGGAGATGCCAACCGAACGCCAAACGCCGCCCCCCTGGCCCAAGCCGGCGACTTAGCAAAATGGGGTCAACCTGGAATTCGCCGACCAAGCTGGCCCACTCCAGCCCAACACGGCGACTTAACAAAATGCCCCCCCCCTAGCTTTAACCGACCAGCCCGGCCCTTCCCAGTCTGACATAGCGTCTTAACACAATGAGCACAATGGAGAAGGATAAGGAGGAGAAGCAAGGCCGTATTGAGACGTCGACGGGTCCTCTGAATTCGTCTGTCTTGGAGGCCACTTCAGCCGTTTCGAACCGACGCATGCCCGATAAGGCGAGAATGCCACAACCCTTCCAACACTCACCGAGAATCAGTCTTTAGGGCCTCTTTGGACCCTACAGCGAAACTGCGGCCATGGTGCCTGCCAACTTTTCAAACCATCCACTGATTGGGTCTTTCTCGGGTGTAATTTGAATCAGAAGCGCCCCGCGTCTCACTCCTCCTTCTTCCTCCCCTTCCTCCCTCCTCCCATCTCCCTCCCTAGCCATTTGACCACACACTTGGCAACCTGAAGACTGAGGCCAGCGAGGAGCTGAGCAGATTGAAACGTGGGAAAGAGCAATGGCAACAGCTAAATGGAGGTCAGGACGACCCCTACATCGTCGGCACAGGCCCCCAAGGTTGCAGTCTCTCGGTCGGGGAAGAGGGAGGCGAGGTGACGGAGGGGGAGATCAAAGCCCAGGGCCCAGAGAGAGCCAGAGAGGGGGCAACCTTGGGGAACCCCCGCCGTACTGACGAACATGGGTACAACTTCCGAGCCAATCGCCAAGTGAGCCAAGGCACCAGCTGAGAGGGAGCGAGTGGCAAACAGAAAACTCCTGGGGATGCAGCACCTCTCCAGCACGAGCCTGAGCCAGGTCTGGCTCATGCTGGGGAAGGCCGCCCGAATATCAAACTTAAAAACAGCGGGTCTGTTTCCTCATTTACCACTCCCGCACGACGAGCAGCAGTGTCCATTCGGAGAATATTGTGGCCTAGGTTGCGTCTTTTGACGAATCCCTGTTGGACTGAGTGAGTCCTCTTGACCACGCAGTGTTGCAGCTGCCAGTTGAGCGTCGACGCAAGCAGTTTGCTGTCCGTGTTTTTCAGCGACAGCGGGCGGAGGGTTCCTGGGCCCCTGACGCAATCGATCACATCTCGAGCCTCCTCACCTTTAGGTATGAAGGCGATCAGGCTATGATTCAGGCCCGGTGGTGGGGGATGGCCACCCATGAGGTAAAAGGGGGAGGTGATGCAAGACGAGGAGACAGGAGGAATGGCCCTTCCACGCGGCATATAGGAGTCTGTCTGGACCTGGGGCTGAGTCTCTAGAGCGGCTAAGACAGTTTTGCATTTCTTCCAAGGAGGGGGGATGGAAAGCACAGGGGGGAGAGGAGGAACGTTTTGGTCCAGGAAGGCCGAAATCTCCCTCTCAGGCCTGAGCGCCTCTGAGAAAATTGGCTCCCAATGATTTCGGAGCGCCTCGGCAATGGGGGTTGGGCCTCGGACCACCTCATTTGTCTGGTTGCTTGCCTGAAAGACCCTCGCCTCTTTCAGCACCGGGCGACGCTGGCGAGGGCGCCAAAGCAGGGCGCGGCGAAGCGACGTAGTCTGAACCTTTCCCCAGTGCTGAACCTCATGGGGGTTCGATCGCATGCGAAAGAGAGCCTGGAGCTGAATCTCCTCGTGCCCACAGGACTTCTGAAGGATAACCTCCTCACGGAAGCTCTCCTTCTTTCAACAGAACTCTCTTGCCAGCAATGAGAAGGTATTTCTGCCCATGCTCAGGGGACTCCTGGATGCGGGCTGCTGTTAAAAGGTCCTGGCGCCAGATCGCTCGAGCAATCGATCGGGGGGCCGGGCATCCAGCCTCAAGATTATCATCATCACCTACTCCCTGAGGGTATTTCAAAAGCTCTCCACGAGTGACTGTCGCAGCTACGATCATGTTTTCTTTGAGCAAAGACCAAACCTCGGGAGGGGGGCGAAAGTCAAGATCGCAGCCGGCCAGACAGTTGCTCAAAATTTCAGAAACCTGCGGTGTTTAAAAATGAACGATTGGATTTTCTGTTGGCCCTTAGGGGTGGCTGCACGGGGCTTCCGAGTGAGACGGTTGATCGCGTGATCGCTAATATGGTAATCAGCAAGCTCAGGCGCATCTTGGATCATGTCCAGTGACGTTTCAGTTTCGAAGAGGAAGTGGGGGGAGATGGAGACGAAAGCCGGGTCGATCGAGGACAACGGCGAGGAGGAGCGAGAGAAGTGGATGGGAGGTCAGTGGTCACCTCGGTCATTTGACCACTGAAGAGGCCTCGCCATAAAGCCTCATGGTGGTCTGCACGGCCTGCCTGAGAGAGACGGGCCTGCCGAGGCTCAGGAAACAGCAACGCGTCGTTCGGGTTGTCGGACACATTGAAGCCGCCGATCGCCACCGCTATTCTGTAAGCCCCATCCTCTCGTGCCCAGTTGGCGTTGTCCTGCCAGGCAGACTTCAGTGCCGCGCGTTCCTCTGACTTTAACTCATGGTTGTGCACGTTGATGGCCCTGGCCTCCACGCCGCTGACTGGGTTGGATATAGCCACAGATAGAGCCCGCGCCTTGGCCAGTCTCCGCGAAGCAATCTGCGGCCAGGAGTGCTGCGGCATCTTGCTGAGAGTGTTCTCTGAGTGCCGCGGGACCAGGATGGCAGCACCTCCCATGCCAGGAGTGTCGCCCATAGTGGTGTAGATAATGACCTCGATGGGGTACTGTCGCAGGCGATTCTTGAGCGTCTCATGAGTGCCGTGAACCTCTTGCAAACAAACCGTAGCGCCCCGCTTCAACTGCTCGACAGCGCGCGCCAGCTTCATGCGCCTCCGTCGGCGGTCACGGCATAGGAGGGCAGCAGCATTCCACGAGACGATCTGGAGCCCCTGCCCACCAAGCTCCAGACCCCACGGACGCCACTTCCCGTCAGGAACATGACCATGTGGACGTGTCCACCTCCCTGAAGAGCTGGTGGAACGCCCGGCTGATCTGCTCCTTGTCGACGTTGTACTGCGCGTTCGCCGCGGGGCTCCACGCCAGCTTGGACGGATCGTTAGGCGCAGCCCCAGGGATAACCTCCACGAGGGGCAGGTCGCCGCAGTGCACCCAGACGAGCTGACGTTCAGACCACCATTCTGCATTGGGCAAGGCACGTTGTAGTAGTTGCTGCAGCTTGTTGGTTTGAACTACACGATGCATCTGCTTTGGATTGCGATCGGGTCCAATGTATATGTTGGTCCCGTAGCCGTCGACCCCAGTCGCGCTGAACTTGCGCCATTTGCCCGTTGGATCTCGCTGTGCACGAACCAATGCCTGGGCGCGGGTGGTGCCAGCTTCACCACCAGGACAATTCACTGCGAACCTTTTGCCAGGTGCACTGGGGCCAATGATCTCGATGTGTTCCCTCTTGACCTTCGCATGATCGAGCCACTCCGCTGAGCCTTCGAGAAGATCCTTCTTGGTGACCTCCGTCTCGGTGATGATGCTGACGAGGCGCAGGTTGGTCTCGCGATCCCAAGTGGCGAGCCTGGCAACGTAGATGCCTTCCGACGATGCCGCCGACTCTGCCATGGCCAGCGATTGTTGCATGCGGTGGACCTCGTGGCGGAGGTTCTCCTGCTCCGCTTCCAAGGCGCTCGTGCGACCCTGGGCCCCGCGCATGTCTGCCTCGACCGTGGAGATCATGGCCACTGTGGGCGCCAGATGTGTCTGGACCGCGGTGGCAATGCCATGCTGGATGTTCGCCATGGCGCTGCCCACTGCAGCACCGATGAAGTTCTGGAGCTCCCCCTAAATATGCGTGAACTGAGCGCCGATCGCCATTGTGTTCCGCTGCTCCAGAAGGGCATCATGTGGGAGCTGGGGAGGTACTGGAGGTGCTGGTCCGAGCCCTGCTGGGTGGCTGGTAGCACCTGGCGCTGTTGCACCTGCTTGGAAGGCCGCAGGAGCTCCAGCATGGGTGGCCGCACCCCGACCTCTGGCTTGCTCCTCCTGGAGGCGGATAACTCCTGCCCAGCGCGAGTCCTCGTAGTGGCCTCCGCGTTGCCATGGGTCGCGATGATGAACAGAATCGGCTCCGCGCCCCTGCGTAGGAAATGTGTTGGGTGTCCATTCGGTATAGACCGCTTCATCGGCAGTTGCAGCACCCGCCCGAACAGCAGAGCGGCGATCACCGCGATCATCACTGCGGCTGCGATGACCTGGGGCATGTGATTGCGAAGGCCTGCCACCATCACGGGCCGCCTGCGCAGGCATGCCAGACTGTGACTGAGTGTGGGTGCCCAACTCCCGCAATGAAGGCAGAAAACTGCCCATCCGAGTGAACGGGCTGCGGCGCTTGCTGGGGCGAACCAGCAGGCGCAAACCAGCTGAAGATTGGTCGCGAACTGGCGGTACCCGTTTCGCCTGGAGGCTGAACAACCCCCCCCCCAGTGGAACATCTTGAGCCACAATGGCTACGGAAGGAGTAAGAGGAGGAAGAGGAGGAGGAGGAGGAGGAGGAGGAGGAGGAGGAGGAGGAAGAGGAGGAGGAGGAGGAGGAGGAGGAGGAGACCAGATGGCTCCGAGGGCCCGTTCGAAGACATGCTGTAAGGGATGTCTCGAGTGAAACGCTGATTTTCCAACGATTTTTTATAACCGAAAACACGTGTTGTTCAATACGGTCGCTTCTTGGGTCATCTTGGAGGTCATCCGAGATCGCTCCGAACAGATGCCTTACAAAAACCGTGTCGGCATCCCATGTTTTCGAGGATGTCTCGGGCGAGATGCCCATTTTCGAGGATCCGAAAATTGGGCGAGCGATTTCGAGATCCCGATGTTTGGAGGATGTCTCGAGCGACGCGCCGATGTTTAGCAAACGACGTCTTAAGATACGACCCCCAACTTCACGATGTTGTGATGATGTCTCGAACGAAACGCTCATTTGGGGAATCCGCCAAGTCCTGCACCACGAGGCAGCGCCGCGCGTTCCCCCCCCAGACCTCCCCCCAGTTCATACTGCCTCTGGCCGAGAGAACGTCCATCGCGCGACCCTTCGAGTCTTAGCGCGCTTCCTGTCATCCGCCACGTCCCCGACCACGAGTGCCCCCCGCGCGTTCCCCCCCCCAGACCCCCCCCAGTTGATACTGCCTCTGGCCGAGGGAACGTCCATCGCGCGACTCTTCGAGTCTTAGCGCGCTTCCCGTCATCAATATGAAATCCACCAGACAAAGAATCAATTTATAATCCGCCACGACGAAAGAACATGAGCACATGAGAGAAGACGAACACATCACGAGGTGCTACTCACTCTTTCAAGCCGGCGACGCAGAGGGTCCTCAAGCGCGAGCAGCAGATAGAAGACGGTGCTACACACAAACGCACACACACACACACACGCTCGCAAGCACGCACGCACGCACGCACGCACGCACGCCCCCCCCCCCCCCCCCACACACACACACACACACACACACACACCACACACACACACACACACACACACACACACACACACACACACCACACACACACGCACCACACACACACGCACACGCACACGCACACGCACACGCACACGCACACGCGCACGCGCACGCGCACGCACGCACGCACGCACGCACGCACGCACGTACGGACGCACACACACACACACACACCACACACACACACACGCACACACACACACACACACGCACGCACGCACACGCACGCACGCACGCACGCACGCACGCACGCACGCACGCGCACGCGCACGCGCACGCGCACGCGCACGCGCACGCGCACGCGCACGCGCACGCGCACGCGCACACGCACACGCACACGCACACGCACACGCACGCACACGCACACGCACACGCACACGCACACGCCCACCACACCCCACCCACCACACTCCCACCCACACTCCACACACACACACACCACACACACACACACACACACACCCACCCACGCACCCGACCACCCGCCCGCCCGCCCGCCCGCCCACCCACCCACCGAGCCACCCACCACCCACCCACCCACCCGACCACCCGACCACCGACCACCCGACCCGACCACCGACCCACCGACCCACCGACCCACCGACCCACCGACCACCGACCCACCGACCCACCGCCACCCCACCCACCCCCACCCACCCACACCACACACACCACACACACACACCCCACAGACACCACACACACACACACCACACACACACACACACACACACGAACACACACGAACACACACACACACACACACACACGCACGCCCGCCCGCCCGCCCGCACGCACGCACGCACGCACGCACGCACGAACGCACGCACGCACACACGCACACACGCACACACGCACACACGCACACACGCACACACGCACACACACACACACAAACAGACAAAAGAGACACACGCACACACACACACACATAATCACGGTTTTATCAACCTTACCCCCCAGCTGGTGTACTTTTGGGTGGGGTCTGCTCTACTTTTGAGTGGCCTGGCTTGGTTTACTGAGGGTTCTGCTTTACTGTTGGGCGGGGTCTAGTCTACTTTTGGGCGGAATCTGCCCTGTTTTTGGGCGGGGTCTGGTTTATTTCTGGGTGGTCTAGACTACTTGTGGGCTGGGTCTGATCTTTTCCGGGTGGTCTGGTCTACGCATGGTTGGGGTCGGGTCTACTTTTTGGGCGGTCTGGTGTACTTTTGGGCGGCTTCTGGTACATTTTTTGGCGGTCTACATTTGACGCGGGTGTTCTGGTCTACGTTTGTTTGGGGTCGGGTCTACTGTTGGGCGGGCTGGTCTACTTTTGGGCGGGGTCTGCTCATCTCTTGGGCGGGGTCTGGTTTACTTCTGCGTGGTCTGGTCTACTTTTGGGTGGGGTCTGCTCTACTTTGGGGTGGCCTGGCTTGGTTTACTGGGAGGTCTGCTTTACTTTTGGCTGGGTCTGGTCAATTTCTAGGTGGTCTGGTCTACTTTTGGGTGGGATCTGGTCTACTTTTTGGCGGTGTGATGTACTTTTGGGCGGGGTCTGCTCTACTTTTGGACGGGGACTGGTCTACTTCCGGGTGGTCTGGTCTACTTCTTTTGGATAAGGTCTGCTCTAGTTTGGTGTGGCCTGGCTTGGATAACCCGGAAGTCTGCTATACTTTTGGGTGGGGTCTGGTCTACTTTTGGGCGGGGTCTGCTCTACTTATGGCTGGTCTGATAAATTTTCTCGGTGGTCTGCTCCACTTTTGGGCAGTCTGGTCCACTTTTGGGCGGGTTCTGGTCTACTCTGGGACAGGGTCTGGGTGGTCTGGTCTATATTTGGGTGGGGCCTGCTCTACTTTGGGGTGTCTGGCTTGGTTTACCGGGAGATGTGGTTTACTTTTGGGAGGGGTCCGGTTTACGTTTACTTTTGGGCAGGCTCTGGTATACCTTGGGAGGTCTGCTTTACTTCAGGGTGGGGTCTACTCTACTTTTAAACTATCTGGCCTGCTTGGATGGGCGGTCTGGTTTACTTTGGGGCGGGGTCTGGTCTATTTTTGGGCGGGGTCTGCTCTACTTTTGGATGGGGTCTGGTCTACTTTTGGGTGGTCTGGTTCACTCTGGGGCGGGATCTGGTCTACTTTTGGGCGGTCTGGTTTACTTTTGGGTGGCATGGTCTACTTTTGGGCAGGATCTGGTCTACTTCTGGGAGGCCTGGCTTGCTTTAATGAGAGGTCTGGTGTACTTATGGGCAGGGTTTTGAATACGTTTGGGCGGACTGCCACCTGGCTTGCTTTGATGGGTGGCCCGCTCTACTCATCAACGTCATCATCGTCATCGTCGCATCATCATCATCACCATTACCATCACCACCTTCATCATCTCCGTCATCGTCATCATCGTCATCATCGTCATCATCATCATCAGCATCATCATCTTCATAATCAGCATCATCATAACCATCATAACCATCATCATCATTCGCATCGCCACCAGGTCACCATCATCGTCGACGACACCAACCCCATCGCGATCGTTAAAATCGTCGCCATCATCCTCATCACCGCCGTCATGTTCCACAAGGTCTGGTTTACTTCAGGGGGTCTCGGTTGCTTTTTGGCGGGGTCTGGTTTACATTGATGGTCAATCCGGTTTATTTACTTTCGGGCCGTGTCTGGTAGACTTTTGGGTGGCCTGACGTGCTATCTTTTTTGGTGGGGTCTGGTTTTCTTGTGGTCTGGCTGTCTTTTTAGTGGGGTCTGGTTTACTTCTGGGTGGCCAGGCTTGCTCTGACGGGTGGTCTGGTTTTCTTGCGGGCGGGGTCTGGCCTACTTTTAAGGGGTCTCGAATGCTTTGATGGGTGGTCTGATTTACCTTGAAGCGGGGTCTGGTCTACTTTTGGGTGGTCTGGCATGCTGCGACGGCTTGCGGCTGGGCGGGGTCTGGTCTACTTGTGCGTGGTCCGGCCTGCTTTAACGGGTGGTATGGCTTACTGTTGGACGTGGTCTGTTCTACTGTTGGGTGGTCTGGTTCACTTTTGGGCGGGGTGTGCTCTGCTTTTGGGTGGTCTGGTCTGCTGTTGAGATGGTCTGGTCTATTTTGGGGCGGCTTCTGGTATATTCTTGTGCGGTCTACATTTGACGGGTAGTCTGGTCTACGTCTTGTTTGGGGTCGGGTCTAATTTTGGGCGGTGTGATGTACTTTTGGGCGGGGTCTGATCTACTCTTGGACGGAATCTGGTCTACTTCTGCGTGGTTTTGTCTACTTTCGGGTGGGGTCTGCTCTACTTTGGGGTGGCCTGGCTTGGTTTACTGGGAGGTCTGACTTACTTTTGGGCGGGTTCTGGTCTACTTTTGTGCGGGGTGTCTATTTCTGGGCGGTCTGGTCTACTTTTGGGTGGGGTCTGGTCATCTTTTGGGTTGTTTGGTTTACTTTTGGGCGGGGTCTGGTCTACTCTTGGACGGAGCCTGGTTTACTTCTGCGTGGTTTGGCCTACTTTTGGGTGGGGTCTGCTCTACTTCGGGGTGGCCTGGCTTGGTTTACCTAGAGGTCTGATTTACGTTTTGGCGGGGTCTGGTCTACTTTCGTGCGGGGTGTAAATTTTCTGGGTGGTCTGGTCTACTTTTGGGTGGGGTCTGGTCATCTTTTGGGTGGTTTGGTTACTTTTTGACGGGGGCTGATCTACTTTTGGGCGGCATGGCTTGCCTTAGTGGGAGGTCTGGTTTACTTCTGGGCGGGGTGTGGTCTACTTTTTGGCGGTCTGGCCTGCTTTGATAAGTGGTCTGGACTACCTTATG